TGTTTAGGATTAAGTTGGACTAACATTTTTCACTTGAAACGAAAGGCGCACAAAACTTGGGGATTGCCGCCCGAAATAGACACAAAATTATGACATAGGTTTCAAGACGATCCGATTGTAAGGGGTGCTAGATTAACGTGGCACTCCCTTTAGAAATTTTGAATTTTGAAGGCGCACAAAACCTGGGTGTAGGCGCACAACTCGGCACAAAGCGAGCACGAAAGTGTGGATACGAAAAGTATTAAGTTGGACTCCCAACGGAAAATTTTGAACAAGATAATTTTTTGTATTAATATGCAGTAGATCTAATTTTATTGAACATTCAGGGAATGTCTGTCGCTAAATTGGCGCAAATTGAGGTAGACTTTTGTAACAAAAAATTTGATTTTCTGTGCCTTACCGAAACTTGGTGTACTATAGACTCTGTTAAGACATTCAATGTAAGCAAATCCTGTCTAATATCGTACTTTTGTAGAAGTAATCATATAAGAGGTGGTACAGCTATATATTGCCGAAATGGATTAAATCTAACGCCACTTGACTTCGATATCACCAATTTTTGCGTTGAAATGCACATTGAATTATATGGACTAGTTTGGCATTGTGATCACAAAACCCTTATTATTGTCTGTTACCATCCCCCGTCCGGTGATTTTAATGTATTTATGGAAAAACTAACCGAATTATTTCAAATGATAAATAAATGCAAATATAGATATATCCTTGTTGGAGATTTTAACGTGCACTTCGAATTAAATAGTAATAATGTTAGACAAGTAAATAGTCTTATGGGTTCTTATAACATGACTGCCGTTGTACAAAAGCCTACACGAGAAACCGCCATTTTGGACAACGTTTTTGTAAATAGTAGTTTAGATGTCTTTTGTGATGTATTGCCTTTTATGTTTTCTGATCATAGATATGTTGTTATCACCAGTAAATCATCATCGCTCTGTAGCGATGTAATATACATAAAGAGAAGAAACTTTAGCTCAGCTTCGATCTCTCGGTTTCATGCCATCCTTGAGAATGAGAACTGGTAGCCTTTAAGTTCCTTCGCGAAATTTGAAGATGCCTTTTCGTACTTTTACAACACTTTAATTTCTTATTTCGAATCATGTTTTCCGGAGATTAAAAGCGTTCTTCGTAATAACCCAAGCATACGAAAATGATGGGTTGATAGAACCATTCAAAAGCTTAGTCATGACTTGAGAAATTTTTACCATATTCAAAAGAAATATCCTATGTTTAAAGCTAATTATTTAGTACTCAAGCATAAATATCGACAATACATTATGACTCGTAAAAGAATGTTTTATGGAAATTTAAGCTCTTCAATTAATAAAAATAAAACGGTTTGGAACATTATAACTGCCAACAATACCGTTGTAAGTACAAGCTCAAATTCAAACACCGAATTTGAGTTCAATTTCGAAAAGTCTAGTATTTGTGGCAGTATGTGTGCATTTCCTTTCAGTGAAAATGAACTCTTAGTCTGTTTAAATTCCTTAAAAAAACAAAAGTTCTTCAGGACCTGATCATATACCTACCTTTTTACTCCGGAATAGTTTACCAATTTTATTGAAACCCATTACTCATTTAGTTAATATGTCCTTTTCTCAAGATGTTTTCCCAAAAGAACTAAAAACATCGCTGGTTCATCCTATTCATAAACAAGTTAAAAAGTAATCGTAAACGATTTACATAAAGCGCATTTCCACTTGCATTCATTTCCCATTTGTAAGATGCAACTTCTGTTAAAATCGTAAAAATCCGCCCACAAATATGAAAGATAGCTTTGCACATGGGCAATCCATTGTTGACGTGCTACTTCAATTTCAGTTTATGAGAAGAATTTCATTTCAATGCTTTTCTAAATAAGAAAGTTGGAACTGCGCATGCGCAAACTTAAATTTTAAAACTAATGTTAGATTTTCCTTTGTTCCAAGCGCCTAAGTATCAAATTTCACTTAAATAGTTCCATAGATAAAAAAGTTGGCACGGCGCATGCGCAAAATAAAATTTTTAAACTGGCGCTAGATTTTCCTTTATTCCAAGTGCCTATGTATCACATTTCATTTAAATTCTTCCATAAATAAAAAAGTTGGCACTGCGCATGCGCAAAACCAAAATTTGAAATTGGCGTTTGATTTTCCTTTATTCCAAGTGCCTATGTATCAAATTTCATTCAAATACTTTTATAAGTAAAAAAAGTTTGCAATTCGGTTTATAAATGGTCGAGATGCGAAAAGGGCACTGTGAATTTTGAATCGATTTGATTCAACTTTTGGCATTGCGTATTATATGGCTAAAGCTATGCCCATATTGAATTTCATGCAATTCAGTTCATAACTAACGGAGATGTAAAAGCGATCAAACATTTCTAAACAAAGTTATCGTTCACACGGACAGATAGATGGACAGACAGACAAAGGAACAGACGGACAGACCAACAGGCAGACGACAGATAGCAATGCAAAATTATAAACGATCTCTAGGGTCGTTAATAAACGGCAAAAGTGTAAAATTATGGAACATGTAAAAAACGGTTTTTTGTTTTTTTTACAATAACTTTTTTTGTAAGCGGTACAGAAAAAACTCCTTCCTTGGTACAAGACTCGACACCATAACGAACCAAATAGCGAAAAAAGTAGAACAATAGCTCTTAAGATAAAAAACTAGTAGCGTCGCAAAGTTAGCGGACGGACGGATGGACGGACGGACGGACGGACTGACGGACAAAGTGGCCACAATAGCGCATTTTTTTTTTTGTGGAAATGCGCTAAAAAGGTAGCACTCAGGACTGGGCTAACTATAGACCAATATCTGTCAGTTCAGCTTTGTCCAAAATTTTTGAATACGCTATGTTGGAAAGACTAAACTGTCACCTTTTTAAACATAACATTATAAACAGTAAACAGCACGGTTTTCGTAGTGGAAAATCGACATTAACTGCAATTAACTCATTTGTTAATGACATCATACACCATCTTGACAAAAAGCAAAGTACTCTTGCTATATTTTGTGATCTCAGCAGAGCCTTCGATACCGTCGATCACTCATTATTATTGCACAAATTAAACTTTTATGGTATACGGGGTGTGGTTGCAAATTGGTTCTCGTCTTATCTATCCCACAGATGGCAACAGGTAGAGATTAAGTTCAAAAATGGAGGGACTATATCTAAATTCTTATCGTCGCCGTTGTTTGTTAATGTAGGAGTACCTCAAGGATCCGTTTTGGGTCCCATCCTATTCATACCTTTTATAAATGACATTGTGTTATGTTGCTCAATTGCTTAGTCTTGTATGCGGATGACACTACGGCGTTAATCTCTGGTAAAAACCTGCCCGATGTCAAAAAAAAGGCTTGTGACTAGATAAACTCAGTAACTGGTTTAATTATAATCGCCTATTCCTAAACCCAAATAAAACTTATCTTGTTCCATTTACCTGTCGTGGTAGTAAAATTCCAGATTTCAGTAATTCGATGATTAGTGAAAGCGTTCCCACTCAAGACAATGGTAAATTTCTAGGTATTTATATAGATCAAAATTTAAACTGCCATTGTGACACCCTTGTAAAGAGGTTGAACACCTACTGCTACCAAATACGCAACATTCAAAAACTAATAGGTATCGAGCACACGTTGACATACTATTTTGCTCAAATACATTCCAGACTTTCATACGGCATTATTGTTTGGGGATCGTCCAGCTCAGCAAAGAAAGTATTTCTAACTCAAAAAAGGATAGTTCGATGTATTGCCGGTATTAGCACATATGAATCTTGCCGACCAATTTTTATCTATATACATTTTAGAAGTATCATCATCCATTTTCAGTAATCGGCATCATTTATTACGTAGCTGTAATTTACATTCACATAACACTCGACACAAAGATCATTTTGTAACTCCCTCGTCAAGGCTTAAGCTAGCAGAAATTTCTTCTACGTCAATGGGAATTAAATTATATAATGTCCTCCCCAAAAGTGTAACAGGTCAGAAAACATTAAAGAGTTTTAGGGCAGCTATAAAAGCAATTCTTTTAGTTCAAGCACCATATACTGTGGATGAGTTTTTTAACTTTTGTTTTCGAAACTAGTTTTTCTGTAATTATTTTAACGTGTTCTAGTATTTTAAATTGTGGAGTTATATCTTTATACTGTGTACATTTGACGTATCTCATGCAATGGCTCACATTGTCAGAGATAATAAATAAATATTGATATTGATATTGAATAATGTAACAAGCAGGTAACAAAACAAGGTTGCTGTACAACCGATGACTCATCTTTGGTGCAATAAAACGCTTTTGTTAAAAGAAACATGGAAAATTACATTACCATGGACCGAATTCAACGTTTAAACTACCAAGTATGTAGAAATCAGTGAATCACAACTCATACCGCACATAGATTCAAAACCGAAGAGTTTTATTGTTAGCATGATCCTACCCCTGGAACGGAGAAGTAGTCCCTCGTGCGGAAAATATCAGTGTAAAAATGTCCATCACATTTCGGTACGCCAATGACCATACAGTCTACTGGTGGATATTTAATTAAGTCTTTGACCACTTGTCGATCTAAACCTCACTCCACCGTAGCTTCCCAACGACAGACTAGTTCCCTGGTAAGTATCATGATCAATTCGAACTGCTGCTTAGTAGATTGCCCTAGCAATGTCACAATCTCTGAAGGATAGAGATACGTTTAGGTGAAGGCGCCAAAACCGTTTTGTATTGCCCTGCCTTCCAACATGTGACATGAGGCCCTCTTTAGTACTTCAGGAAAGGAGGAATTGGTTTTTAAAGTGATTTCCCCCAGGGGTAAAGACTTGTTGCCGCGCTTGTTGCCTTTTAATGAGCCACAATATTGCTTGTTATCATCTTAAGTGGGAATTCTACTGTACTGTGTAGGAGTATTGGTGTTAATGCAGCGTTTTGGTTTAGATAAAAAAACATGTTTTAGTTCATTTTTTAGATTTTATTGTCTGTTCATTCAATGTCTATTTTTTTCGATCCAGTCCGTAAAGGCGGACACTCTGGTGAACGCATCAGGATAACCTTTGGCACATGGACGTCCAAAGGACACGATACCAATTTGCTTGTTGGCGACTAATGGACCACCGGAGTCACCATGGCAGGCACCTTCGCCAGCCTTAGTTAAAGTGCAAACATGCGTGCGATCGACGGAGTTGAGATTGAGAAGCTTGGCGCAATCTTCGCTCGTAATAGTCTTCAGATCGATGTGTTGGAGGTTGTTTGGAAGTGAGCCAGGATAGTTTAATCTTCCCCATCCGCTCAAAACACAATCTACGTCGGCACCGAGGTATTCGGTTTCCAGATCGACGGATTTCACTTTATCCGTAAATGAGATGGGAGTTTTCAGCTTTAAAATGGCGATGTCATTTGTGAAGCGCCAGGAGTCGTATCCGGTGTGAGCCCTGATTGATTCAAGTTCGTACGAAACCCCTCCCGAGTTGAGTTTATTTGAGCCTACCACAACACGTAAGGCACTCGGTTTAGATCTAAAAACAAGCAAGCGTTACCAAGAGGACGTTGATGTTTCTAGAGAGTACTCACCCAGTGACGCAGTGTGCGGCGGTCATAACCGTAGTCGCGTCAACGATGGAACCACCACAGCTATGGCTCCCAAACCTTCTCAGTGAAACTTGGTAAGGATACGCTCCTTCTGGTGCATCACTACCACCAACGATCTTCCAATCGTACTCATCTTTAGGAACTGTTCCAAACAGGGGCGAAACAGCACCCAAAGCGCCGGTGACGAATAGAAGAAGCAGAAAACCGTTCATGTCGAAATGATAGATTCACACTATGCCCTGAAAACCAAATCTTCCGTTTATATACAATTCTGAAAGGTTGTTGACTTTAGAAATGAAAAGTGGTGCTTCAGATAGCGCTTAGTTGTTTTTCGCAATAATTGAGAGTGAATTCACCAACAAATAATAGCATATGTACTTGTATGAGCACCTACTTCAAATTTGCTTACGTATCTGTATTTGCTGGGTAAAAGTAAGTGCTTTATTTACTTTTACATTTGTAGGCACTTGCGTGACTGGAATATATCAAAGTCCTCCGTATTGTGATAAACCATTAAAAAAATTCAGTACCTAACAAGACACAGTCAACTCTGCCAGAAATTAGTACCGGAACCGCCCTTTGAATGCTACCAATAACAGAAATCACAAAGGTCTAGACTTCTAGAGGATGGTATGAATGAAGGAAGAGGCCTATGTGCCATCACGTGATTGCAAGAGCTTGGAAAGGGGAAAATCAGGGTGCTTGGTAGATAACGGGCAGCGTTTTTTGGGTTGAAAATTTCATCTTGACCAAGCAGATATGGCAGTAGTGTGAGCAACATAAATTTGTAATTTCTCCTTCCTATATCCCTACAAAAAAAAAACGTAGAAGCAGAGTAGACCCCCAACAGCCGTGTTGCCCGTGTCTAACCAGTTTAGGAAATTTAGATATAAATAGATCCTTTTGCATCATCCAGAGCTAATAAAAACTCTGCTCGATATTTCTTCTGGCTTAGGGATCCAAAACCTGAAATAGTAGACGCTTTTACGGTAAATTGGTCGGAAATAGATTTCCTTATCTTCGCATTAATTCTGAGAATACTTCACAAACAAAAATATCGTAAAGCGGAAAGGAGATGGGTAGTTCCCCTTTGTCCAATACTGCCATGCAGGGTGTTTCATAATATATGCGCAAGACTTCAGGTTTGGTAGCTCGTTCAAAAAAGCTTCCAGATAAGGGTGTTGAAGTTGAAAAAAAATCATTTCTTGCGAATAGGTATCTCCGGAACCGTTTATCGTACAGAAAACGGTTTTTGTAAACATTTTCTGCTCTATGTTTTGTACGAAAATAAATTCTTTTAAGATCATAATTGGTGAAGATTTTGAAGGGGTAGTAGGTATAAAGAAATGCATAATTCCGGAGATATTTACAAAAAACGACATTTTTTTGCACCTTCAACACCCTGTATCTCGAGAATTTTACATTTTAGAGCGTAGGTTAATAGAAACTTTGTTCATATATATGAAACACCCTGTATAGTGGAAGGCATTTTATCGGATACGCCTTAAAGCAAAAGGAGATGTCTGAGAAAGCCATTGAAATGTCTTTGGCGGAGTTTTCCTTATAACATTATGGCCCAAAGTTGTGGTGGAAATTCGTTTCCAATTTAATAACATTCTAAATGTGTTTGTTCAATAAACGGTTCACGTAAAGTAACCATAATACTTTCTGCTTACCCTTTCTCTATTGAGGTTACAATAAGTAGGTACCTACAGATCTTTGTGTTTCTCAAAGGAGTCTTTAGACCTTCCACCCCAAAATATAAATACACATTCGGGATCCCACCAACGTTCTAAATCGATATTGACATTTCCAATGAAAACTTAAGTTTGAAAAAGTCACTTGCAGGCTGGTTATCCTGCTAACCCTAATATCGGCGCTTTGAGTATTAGACCCTTATTCATCCTTTCCCCTTTACAGTCACTCAAGTACCTAGGTACACATTAAAAAATCCATGTAAACATAAATAAAACACTTACTATTATCAAACAAAAACCTCTACGAAGGCAAATTTCAAGGAGGTACTCAAACAAGTACACATGTAACCTTGGTAATTTACCAGATCTTGTTTGGTTATACTAAAAATGGCCCTTTATTCTTTATATTACAAGGGTAGGTAGCATTATTAGGTACCCACATTAGTTTGTTGGTGAATTCACTCTAAATTAGTGCAGCAAACAACTAAGTGAAAAATGAACGCTATCTGAAGCACCACTTTACATTTCTAAAGTCAACAACCTATCAGAATTGTATATAAGGTGTTAGTTTTTAGGGCATAGTGTGAATCTATCCATCCATTTCGACATGAACGCTTGCCTGCTGCTTCTATTCGTCACCGGCGCTTTGGGTACATTGTCGCCACTTAACCACCTGTTTGGAACAGTTCCTAAAGATAAGTACGATTGGAAGATAGTTGGTGGTAGCGATGCACCTGAAGGAGCGTATCCTTACCAAGTCTCACTGAGAAGCTTTGGAAGCCATAACTGTGGCGGTTCCATCATTGATGCGACTACGGTTATGACTGCCGCACACTGCGTCACTGGGTGAGTACCCTCTAGAAATGTGAACTTCCTCCTTTTAACGCGTGTATACTTTTAGATCCAATCCGAGTTACTTGCGTGTTGTAGCAGGTTCCAATAAACTCAACTCAGGAGGTGTTACGTACGAAATTGAATCCATCCGAGCTCACACCGGATACGACTCCTGGCGATTCACAAATGACATCGCCATTTTAAAGCTGAAAACTCCCATTTCATTTACGGATAAAGTTAAGGCCGTCGATTTGGAAACTGAATACCTCGGTGCCGACGTAGACTGCGTTTTGAGTGGATGGGGAAGATTAAACTATCCTGGATCACTTCCAAACAACCTCCAACACATCGATCTGAAGACTATTACGAGCGAGGATTGTGCCAAGCTCCTCAATCACAATTCCGTCGATCGCACTCACATTTGCACCCTAACTAAGGCTGGCGAAGGTGCATGTCACGGTGACTCCGGCGGTCCTTTAGTCGCCAACAAGCAAATTGGTATCGTTTCCTTTGGGCGTCCATGCGCCAAGGGTTATCCTGATGCTTTTACTAGAGTGTCCGCATTTACAGACTGGATCGAAAAAAATAGATATTGAGCTTCATGAATTTACAATAAAGTAACAAATTAACCACAAGCATTTCTTTTTCCTAAGCTGTTAATTTTACACGACTGATGAATTCAACAACACCTTACACTATACGATTGTGCAATATTGTCCAATTTTGTAAAGCAACAGTAATAAGAATATTCCCTCCATTTGCGGCGCACTCTGAAGTATTTATTTCTGTATTCACGATTGGATTTGACTATTCCCTGAAGGAAGTAAATATAATACAGTCCGATTCTTAGCTGTATTGGTTACTTTCTTACTCGTGGCCCGCTGCCTAACTGTGCGTAAACTATACGAGAAGGGGTTATCTAATTAACTTTTCTTCTACTGTGTTTTGTTTGGATGGCAATGGAGTTCGACATGAATACTACTATTGGTGGTACATTAATTGAAGTTGATGTTTGGAGTAGAGGGATGCTTTGATGGCTTTTTTGTACACGCAATTTATCATTTTACGAGTTGTTTTATTTCAATTGATCTTGATTGTACTTTTCTTTAATGTGTTTGTGTACTAAATTGATTTATCCATGTTTTCCATCAGCATTTATGATATCTCGTGTGTTTTTGTTTTTATAAATTTGTTTAACTTCTATTAAAAGCAAGTGGATTCGTAACGAAAGACATGTCAAAAGACTATGGTTTTGCGCATGTGCAGAGCTAACTTTCTCAATGGTGCTGCGATCTTTCTGAAATTTTAACCCACCTCTTGTTGTCGCGACATTTTTGACAAAATCATGAACACCAAAAAAAACCAAACGAAATCCTTTTTTCTCTTGATCGAAATGCTTCCTTATAATATTATAAGTAATAATATTAGTATTACAAAAAATCTTAAACTAAATGTTAGTATTATCATAGTGTAAGAATTACACTAAGGTATTATGTACAAAAAATAATTAAAATCAAAGCAGTATATGAAAAAAGAATTATGGAAGCATTCGAGGTAAGTACTTAATGAATTTTCTAAAATTTTTATCTACATAAAGTTCAACGCATAGCTGGACAGCGCTTGTTTTGTGAAGGTAAGTATGATTGATAATGATTGGACGTATCTCTGACCTTTTGTCTTTACAGCTCAAACCTCTCAACATTTAAAATTGTAAACTAGTCACTTATGTGAAAGATTTAGAGGAAAGGAGAGGGGTGTAGGATTTCAAATGTAAATATTTTGAAAATAGAAGTGCACGATCTATACGAATCTCACGAACTTCAGAAACCACTACATAAATTACTGGAATTGTACTGATTAAATAACACTTGAGGAGCTGCAGCTGTTGGTCCTACAGAAGAATCCACCAAAAAATTACGGAAACTACAGATGTTGCATGAACCTTCAAGTACACGGACTAAAGAACTAACTTAACCCCCTTAGGTTCTACGCTAACGGCACCATACCGCAGTGCGGAAATAAAATCAACCCGAAATGCCCATCCTCTAAAAACTGACCAGTTCCCGCTTAAATTGGGAGTCAAAGCGGCACGTGCCCCAACTTCCAATGTAGGACCTCCTTACAGCAGTTCTAAACAACGCTATCATCTAAAGTACAGTAAGGAAGGAACGAAAAATAAAACTCTGTAATGACGTAATGGTGGGTATTAGTAGATGAGAGATATACCTGCGCCAGATAGTCCTATGACGCGCCAGACAGTGAGGTCGCGCTTTTGGTTAGGTGTCGGCGACGTAAATGTCGACCTGGGGCCAGTACCAATCAGTTCTGTTTGCCGATGGAAACATTCAAACTGACTGACAGAGTTTTATTGTCACCATGGTCCCACCCCAGGGACAGAGAATTGGCCCCTCGTGCGCAAAATATCAGCGTAGAAATGTAAATAACACAAAAAACAACAAATTTAGTGCTCTCGAGACGGCACGGCACGTCATAAGAAAATGTTAAATACATGGCAGAATCTCACAGACTCGTATCCCTTTTTGTTGATTTTTTTTTATCTTATATAAAATAAACACTAAAATAGTTGATTATTATACACAATCCACAAAAAAAGATACACAAAGCACGTACATTTCCACTACCAAAAAGCCGAGAAAGCAATTAGTAAATTTTTGCGACGA